ACTCGAATACTACAGGCCGCGTCAGGGTCTATGGTGCCCTATCGGATAGCTTTTCGACTACAAGTGGCGTTCGACAGGGTTGCCCGATTTCCCCGTTTTTGTTCAATTTCGTCGTGGATTCGATCATGGAGTGTTCCCTTGCGGAATCTCACGATGTAGGTGTTGAAGTGCTGCCTGGTGAACGGTTAGTTGATCTAGATTATGCGGACGATATCGTCTTGCTTTTCGACAATGTTGAGGCGGCACAATCAACCCTGAATAGCCTGTCCAGAGTGGTCCCATTATTTGGCATGCACTTCACACCTTCAAAGTGCAAAGTGTTGCTGCAGGACCACCAGCCACTCGATGACCCCTTGACCCTTGCTAACGAGGAGCTCGGTGGTTGATCAATTCACTTATCTTGGCAGCTGCATCAGCAATGATGGGCGCATAGAAACTGACGTGAGCTCACGCATTGCAAAGGCCAGAGCTGCCTTCTTGAACCTGCGGCATCTTTGGCGACAGAAGGGAGTTTCCCTCCGTCTGAAAGGCCGTGTATACAAGGCCACAGTGAGGGCCGTTCTGCTCTATGGTAGTGAAACTTGGCCACTTCGGTCAGAAGATCTGAGGCACATTCAAGTCTTTGATCATCGTTGTTTGCGAAGCATTGCTGGTGTCGGATGGCACCAGCGTGTCCGCAACGATGATGTGCGTAGGCGAGTACTAGGTGGTGACGATCATGCTAGCTCCCTAGAACAACAGATAGCACTGAATAAGTTGCGTTGGCTCGGGCACGTGCTACGCATGCCTGATCACCGCTTACCCAGGAGGGCCTTGTTCAGTCTTCCAGGTGTAGGATGGCGCAAGGCTCGAGGTGGACAGAAGTTGACTTGGCAGCGGGAAATGAAGTCACTGACGACCAAACTGGGTGCCGTTGGTCCGTCTCGCCTTCCGGATTGGAGTCCACGTGACTCACCTTGTGCTTGGCTCGAGACTTTACAGGATATGGCTCGCAACCGACACCAGTGGCGCGTCTGCTGCCGTCTCCTAATCGGATTGTCTGTTTAAAGTGTGTTTGGTGCTGAGTTATCTGCGGGGTAATGGCTGATTATGACGCGTGGCAGTGAAAGCCGCAAGGAAGCTGTCTCGCCGATGCCGCCTTATCTTTGCACGATAGCCAGCTGTTTGTGACAGAATGTTGTCTACACAAGGTGTAGACGCCTTGACCCTGAATGTTGGCTTAGGGCATTAAGGTTTTCAGGTAAGTCCTCCTTCTCTCCCTCTTCTTATTCTTTATTTCATAGTTCCTCATGGTTGTATGGCAGCGAAGCATCAGTTCAAATGGCTGATGTACTGCTGTTGATGATGATGATGCACCCATAAGACGAGAAATCTACACTTTCGTTTTTAGTTATCAACCAAGTCTGATAGCCTTTTGAGAACTACATTCAGAGTGTGCAGATGTTCAGCAATGGTTCATTATGTTATTAGGAGGTCATCCAGATGGACACAACTATTTAATGTCATACACTAGCGAGTCAATAATTCGTTGAAATATGGCCGGTGCAGAGCTAATTCCGAAGGTATACGTTGTCAGCGGAATAACCCAATATGAGCGTTTACCATCATGTAGACTCACGATTTTTCGTCGAGCAAAACTTATCAATGTGAAAAGCTCAGGGTTAATTTTGTAAAAACTTCGCAAGCAACAGCAAGTATCGGTCAAGCCGTAGTGTATAAGTGACCCCAACCTAGTAGTCTCCACAAATTCTTGCGGTCCTGTTACACTAACGCTAGCACAATCAGTGCTGTCTACTTTCAGTACTAAAGGATTCCGTTGTGCTCTCTTCCTGGAGTAGGAGTAGTCTCGCACCGACTTTGTCTCGAAGTGTGAGGCACAATGCGTACCTTCCGAAATTCTGGCGTTGCATTTGGTCTAAGTACCAGGTATGCACTGTAATTTTTCAACCATCTGGGAGTGGTTTGGCCGAGTAAGACTGCGTGCTTCAACAAAATATCGGATATTTACAGATGAGCTTCAACTGAGTTGACGTCTGGCATAGCGTCAGACAGACGTTTGATACCATCGCGACCAAATAGGTTAGGACCTGGTTCGTCGGATCTGTACACCCACATATGACTAGTAAAACTGTGGTAAGAGATACGTGTAACAAGACTACCGGTGACATTTACCGTCTGTCCGGTGTCAGATCGCAGTTGTAATTTGGGTGGGTTCAGTTTTGGGAGATTCCAGAAGGCATCTAATCGTACCGACGTAACTGCAAAACCTTTATCAAATTCATAAGCCACAGGCTGATCATTTACTTACATGGACACAACAAACGTTTTTTCCTTTCTTATACATTACAATGAACAATGATTTACAAAGAGTAAAAAGGCAGTTACTTGACAAATCCCACCGTCATAATCATCCTCCTTAGACATTACTGAAGATGAGAAACACGCTTCAGCTATTGTGTAGCAATAAGTAAAGATATAAAAAGAAGGAAAATACTAAACATTATAGAATGCAAAAAAACAGGCGACACTGCTTGGTAACATAATATGCGTCAGGATAAGGATAGTGGTTTGAGAGGGAAGATAAACGGGATAGGGATGGACAAAGAAACACAAACACAAACGCCCTTGAGGTCAGCTCGTTACAATATCAACTAGTGCATCCAACCAAACGTTTGCATCGTCCTTCGAACCGCAGCCGACAAGTGACGTAGGATGAGCGGGTTGAAGGTTTTAACACCAACAGCAACCAATAATATGAAACAGGAGAAAATCAGATTTCTAAGTGATTCACCATGCTATCCACATGAACACTGATGCGGGTTTCTTCACCGCTACGTTACGGATAAGGCTGATGAGCGCATAGTTTGATTAACGTTAATTCGTCCGCGAAGTGAAACGAACTATAACAAGCAATGTAAGTGGGAAAGTGTGCCACCATGACGTTATTAGAAAAGCGTTAATCTAGAGGCAAAGTTGAAGTGGGAGGGAGTTCAATGATCGGGACACCCGAAGGGAGAAAACACTTTGTCGGCAATCAAGTCGACTGTAGTGTGTGGCCAGTTTGAGTTAGTGGTCTCTCAGGTTAGTATTTTGGCAGAGTTACAACAAGTTACGACATGTGTGATTTTGGTTCGTCAGTATTAGATAAACCATGATGAGGTCTCCTCGTTGAATCCGGTGGTCACCGCTGCACAACCTCAGGGCTCACAGTCTCCGTTGGTAGGGAAGGTGAAACAAACCCATTACGAATTTGGTCGCAATACGTCGCGGAGCCTAAAGCGCATCACCATCGTGTTTGTGCCAAGGACGCTAGACTTGGATCGCGTACTCCGCATGGGGCCTCATGCAGGCGATCAGCGTTTGCGTAAAGATTCAAAGCACGAACTTTCCAGAAGTCCCTTGTAAAAGTCCAAGATACTGACCGGCATTTTCGATGCTTTTTCGACATGTCTGGAGCAGCCATTCAAGATTTTCCTGAGGTCGCTTTCATGGGAAGCACGGTGCAACTGCTTGTCCCTAAGTCAATATTTACAACTACACTAATGGCGTATGCTCAAGATAGTGCATTTAGCCACGTTTAAGTGGAGCCGGTTTCCGGATGGGTCTGTCGAGATCGCTCTGCAGTACCGCGTGATCGTCCACTGTCTTGAATTCATCCCAGATCTTGACCGTCTGCAAACAGTAGGAAGTCCGACTGAGCACACTGGCAAGACTGGTTATGAATAGGAGGAATGAACGTGGTCCAAGTACCCATCCTGGGGGAACACCACACTGGACTTTAATTGGGTCGGGAAATGGAGCTGCAGAGCCGCGCACATTCAGTTGATGTCGAAACAGGAATATGCTTATTCAACCTAGAACAGGGTCACTGATTTCATAGCTTGAAATGTGGTGGTTCAGGCGATCGAACGTTTTTGAGAAGCCCTGATAGACAAGGTCAATTCCTACTCTGGCGTTGACTGATTCCGTCTAGCTTGGTCGGGCTAGCAGCAAGTCTGTGAAACAGGACCGAGTAAAAAATGTCGTGGTGCTGGTCCATTTCTGATTCAACTCCTCTGCAACGTGATTCGACGACCCGGATTTGATTCCTGTAAATGTATTTCATTTGAAAGGGTATACTTTCTGAATGTGGCTCTACTTTTCTCAAAATTTACACACTGAATAAACGTGCTGACAGCCACTCGGACTTGAGTGACGTTCACCACAAAGATAATAAGGGAAGCCTCAGTGCTGCGCAACGTGAGGCAAAGTACGGTCACGGTTGATCTGGGAAACTTTGCTCACGTCATGTGACAAAGTTTAGTCCGTCGAAGGAAATGCCGTGAGTCCCCGAAAGAGGTTGGCGAAACATATTGCAAGTTATCTTCTAAGTTAGGAACTTTTCGTCAGATGTGGGTGGACGAACATTGCTTCTATGAAATGATTCGGGGAGGAGAGATAAACCCATTCACACGCACTCGATTGCTATCTCATCATGATGGACCTGTAGCGGGCCGTAACCCCATAGTGGTGTTCACCCCACCACAGCCGATCGAGAGAGGAAAACACATCCTGAGGATCTTGTTCCATGTGTAGCTGTAAACTATCGAAGTGTCGCTGACTCTCGTGATCGAGGTAGTGGGGCAGTAGTATGATTTGCACCGCATCATTAAAATATTGTTGTTGCCGCTAAGTAGAGCAATGCCAGTACAGTTCGTAAAAGTAGGGTTCAATCGCATCCAGTGTTGTGCGATGGGTCTCTCAGTGGATTTCAAACTGCTGAGAGTGCCATGGTCGAGATAACCATAAGCAATGCAATCTACTCCGTCCCCTCATTATTACGCCCGAATGAAATCAGAAACATTAACAGAGCAGTAGAAGCATGCCATAAGACCGATTAGGAATGCATGTATACAAGCGTTCGGCAGATAAGCGAGCAGTCTTACACACTGAGTTCGGGGCTAGAATTTGATTAGACGGGGAGAGCATGGATCAGTGAGCGTACACACGTATTAACTCACACGCGCGTGCATGCATGCACTGCGCAGTCGACCGAGATAACGTGTAGATGGCCAGCTGAGTACGTATCAGGGGGTAACCGGGGTTCTGAAATAAGTGAACGAACACAAGAGAGGCGCCGACTTAGTGATTGTGCTATATCTGGTTGCGCATCCATCAGGAAACAGATATTACGTACCTCGCAAAGCCTCGGTTGTCGTGACATGCTATTAGTTAAGAAAAAAGATGAAATTAAGCTGCCGCATTTATCAAAGGTAAGCCAAAACATAAGTGAAATCAATCGAATTAAAGGTGTCTCTTAACTCTAACCTCTCTAACCTGCCTCAGTAGTCTGTGATTGCGATGATGCTCAAGCACCCCAGGAAGGGTGTATATATCTAGTTGGCATACTATCTGATTGGGCAGAAGCTAGCCTGTTCGATAATGTCTTCGGAGGACCGGTAAGCTCTACTACAGCATGGCGCATTTGAGTAGTTTAGAAGCAACTGATATGAGACCGATACCATTATCAGTTTTACAAGACGTCATTTGATCATTTGCAAAGGGGGGATTGAAGACGGACAACTGTCAGTCAAAGGAAACTTCACCTTAGTCAAACAACGTCGAATAGGACCTCCAATGCCCCAACTGGTGAGTCGCCACTGTCCTTCAGAAACGATAGTGGAAGACCATTTGGGTTAAGTACCTTTTCCGATGATCCTATCAGATCATGACGATCACGGGAGTTTACTTGTCAACAGCAAGAGTCGGTTCAGATGATCTCATTAACAAGTCTGACACAATAGGCGAGCGGAACAGCTCCTCAAGGTGTACAGACTATCGTTCAAGAGGACATGATTGAGAATGCAGCCCATTACCATTGGTTATTTACTCGTGTAAGCACTTCTCGAATCAATGCGTCGACTGAGCTGGAACATCGTTCTGATGTTTTGACATTGGCCTTCTCTATCATACGGATCTGTACCATCCACCAAGACGTGTGTGGATCTCTTAGTTGTACGTCCTTTCATCGTCACAGATGCTTCGAAGCTGTTATTTCGACAGAACTACCTAGCATGCATTAACCCATTTATGCCTAGTGTTCCGTTATCGGAACAGCGGTCGCGTGTCGGTTAGTTTTAGGGCGACAACGTAGTCCGCTGTATCACTTCCACCGGACTCGTGGGTCTCTACTATAGAGTCGCCGCGTGCACATGATTAGTCAGTGATGCTGATGCAGGCCTGCAGCGATGCTGTGAAACATTGATGAGACGTTTCTCGCAGCGCCATTCTGACACACAGGTAACTATAACTTAGTGTATCAGGTCCTACCGTTGCTATGCTTGCTTTGACTGCTCTACTGACTTTACATTACCGTGCTTTAGTGAGACTAATGTATTTCTCCGTTTCCTTTTTTAGTTGAACCCATGTTTGGAACACATTCCAACATACTGAGAACACTATCGTTGGATTAAATAACTGACATGTTAGAGACAAACGAGGAGATACATGCAACCGCGATAGCCATACAATCATCTGAAAATGTTACATCACCTGTTTCTGATGAGGACCCACGAGATGAAGAAGGCGGAACGATAAATAATCTACCAGGTTCTTTGCTGCGGGCGCCTGCTCATCCAGTTCAAGATGGTTCTGAATCTGACTCAGACCCAGATGATCCTTCCTATCAATCTGAAGCTGCTTCTATATTACAAAAAGCATTTGTTTTGCCTCGTGATCTATTTTTGGAACGTGTAACAACTCAAAAACGACAAAGTAAATGTTTTTGCCTGATTTGGTGTCTCTATAAATTTGAGAATAAACTATTTAGTTCTTCATATATTTATTTATTTACATAACATATATGAGTTTCATGCCAAAATACACGATTTCCAATCTTCGGCATAAATGGGTTAATAAGGCTCTGAGAGTTCATGGAAACCATACAAGTACTCAAATATCTCAAGCTGGTGGACAACCGGTATCATGGAGTTTTGGGTTGTGCACTGAAGGTGATAACAATTTTCATTCGACTCATGCGTCTCGTCCATTAGTGCCAGTCATTGACGCGATGCGGATTGCTAATATTGGTTCGCGAATTGCGAATACAAATAACCAGCAAGTGTCTTAGAAATCACGCACATCACCGAAACCACTATATGCAGACACGCACGGCAATGTGGTCATAATCGAGTGTAAGCGTGTCCCAAACGAAGCTGGACTGAAATGAGTCGTTTGACGACGTGGTCAACTGAAGTGCAGGGCAGCCTGGTGCTCCACTGAAGATAGGTAACACAAGGTGAAAACTTATGCAGAAAAGATGTGCGATTGAGATAAAGATTGCGATCGACACACGGTTGAAGAGTCAGTATTGTCAGAACGAAAAGAACATAGGTTTTTTATCATTTGTCAGACTTATTAATTTAGTTCTATACACGTTCCGCCATCAATGGGAGAAGCATCTTCTTCAGATATACCTGGACCTCAGCTACTGCTGATAAACTATTCATTAGTACGCACTGAAGATGCCACTTCGTCTGTAATTAAATCGCCAAGCTCGAAGGGTAAGTAAACACCACGACTGCCAACCCGAACTACCAAGATTACGCGTCATCGTAGGCAAGTGCCGACTCCGAAACGGCCACCAAGACCATGTTCGGAATCGGAAAGGTGACCAGACTGAGCAATGATGTAACTCGCAGAGAAAACGGTATCCCAGACCAACGTCATTCGGATAAGAAAAGATGGTTGCTGATAAAATTGACCAACCGAACTCCGGGCTGCGGTTGAATACAGCGCAAGTTTAAGAAACAAAATCATGCATCGCCAGCAGTTGATGCCTAGCAACCTCGAGTGAGCTTAGAAGTTAAATGGCCCAAGTGCCGTGATCTAATGGGATCCATTCTAGAAGAAGAGCTTCTCTAAGTGCAATCAATCATCGACTTGGCTTTACCAGAGACGCGAAGTATATAAGCCATATCAGCAGACTGATAAGTTAAAGTGTATCAGAACACTGTCATACTGTATGCATGTTTTGAAGATCGCACATATTAACTCAGAGGCAGTGTAAAGTCACAGTGAGTGGCCAATCTGATGATGCGCAGGGAAACCCAAATAACCAATAGAGAATGAGGTCCAATGCCTAGTTAGATAACCCTGTTTTTCCATCAGTGCGGCTAATGCGGTTACAAGTGCTCTTTCGGAGTGATAAAAGACGCCTGCGAAAAGAAAGGAAACTAACGACTAGTAAAGATTACTGGTGACGGTGCCTTGTCGGCGTGCTAAGAATGTCTAACAGGGATGAAAAGATAGTACAAATGAACGAATCAGATAGCCAATAGGTGACACGGACGCCCGTTTAAGCGGCTCCGTTGGTTGGCTGATGTGCGGATACGCTACCGTTAGATCGTCGTTTATTTAACAGATCCAATGGAGGGATTTGGTTGGCCACAAAACGTCGTTGTTGATGGAAGTGCACGAATAAGATATATCGAGGCGTTTGGCGGGTCAAACGTGCTGCTACTTTTGCTTGTTTGCTTCTGATGAATAAATCTCCTGACCCTGAAGGACAGATACTTGTAACACGTTATCATAGGAAATCTAAGTAAATGCGACGCATGGTGCTCAGCGGTCGACTGGAACTCAATTGGTTGTTCAACTATCTGCTCCATTAAATAAGGATGAATGTAACTTAGTCAATAGGCTAAAAGTTGGGAAAAGTAAACGGTTCGACTTTGGTGTATTGGTGCATTTGAAGCAACAGACATGGGTACAGCTAGGCGATGCATCGACACACAATCGGAGATAAAGCACGCCGTTTGTCAGAGACAATGCACTACCACAAAGACGGAAACCCCGACGACCTGGAGACTCGCCATAAAGTTCGGTTAATTCTATGAGGGTTGAACGAATGAACATTTGACCACCGCTATCCATTGTTCACTCGAAGGACTCACGGACGAATTTGTCGAATGCTACGTTAACTAGTCGACAAGCCATAGGCCATGCTTGGCCTATGGCTTCATACTGGGAGAAATTCTGCTCGGGACCTACTAGAAGATGCGTTTCTTTGGGCGTAGAAGAACAGACTTCGCGACTACAGGTCGAAACAAGCATACACAGATCAAAGCAAGCTGATGACAAAAAGTCAAGACCAGCTGATGCCCAGAGGGCAAATCGAAACAAGAGGAAGCGCATAGACCAACAGACCTGTGTTGATCTTAGGTCAGCACTCGATCAATCCTGTAGCGTCCCAAGAGATAAGTACTATATGTTATGTGCAATTTCATTGCTGACTAATTGTACATTAATCTTTCTTGTTTTAATCACCCTTATATCCGGCTCGACACTCATCTGCTCTGTAAGTTACCCCGATAAGCTTTGCTCCTGTCTCGCTTCATCCGTCCACGCCTTTTGTAGCCTATCGAATATAGTACACTGTGTTCAACTTCAACTGTCGTTTGAAATCCGCGCTCGATTACGCGCATCGTCTCGAAGTACTATTTACTACTCCTATATACTGGTGACCGAAATTCGCACGCGCGAATTTAAACTATTTTAGTCGTTGGATTTTTTGTGATTTCCTTTTTGACGATACATGCAGTTAATTGTTTCTCGCCACAATTTAATAGTTTCATCGCGTTTTTGTTCAGCTATGATCTTCTCGATTCACAAGTTGCAGCTGGCATCTGGATCGTTTCACAGCGCATACATGCTTACTTTGCCTGTTCAGTTGCACGGAACACAGCTCAGAGGTTTGATTTACCATATTCGAGATTGAACTCGAAAATAAGGGCATTCAGACAGATCGTTCGAGGTACAATCAGCTCGTCCCATGCTTTCCTTCGTCGGCTGTGACTTTGGATCAGGACATACTACTTTGCCCATCGGATGAGGCAAAGTATGAAAGGATGAAGCAAGCGATCCTAAAAGAGCTGCAGCCCAGTGCACGAGCTCGATTTAAACAGCACAATGGTCTCAAGCTGGGAGATGGCAAGCCGCCGGTGTTGCTCCGCGAAATTCAGTGCATCGCTGG